AGGCCATAGATCACCTGTTCTCATATCCTTCTAATCTTCCTTAACCCAAATAAATCCCCACGGTCAAAATCTCATTAATAGATTTAGGCCACGAAGGCCAAAATCCCTTTTTCCTATAATTCTCCTTAAAACCGTTAAACCCTTAAATCGAACTTAAATACACTGAAAATCACACATGGAAAATCATGAAAGGCTATACTCCCCATACCTTAGTTGTCGATCAAAGCCTTCTCAATCTTTCAGGGAACCTCTCGAAGCTTCTGCCTCCAATCTCCTCCTTAAAGCTCTGACCTCAATACTTTTCACGGTTAACAAAAGTAAATCCTAATTCCCTTCAGAATTCCTTTTTGTTAAACCTAGACTTTGGCCTCATAAATTTGGGGTTTTCCCTTAATACCCTTACTAACTCCTCTTAATGCCCAAATTACCCCTATTTCACTTATATTTATTTTAACTAATAATACTAATATTTCCATATTGTATACTATTAATTAAATAAATAATCCAAAAACGCATAATTCCGAATAATCCACAAAACCACCGAAAACCACCAAAATACGATTATTCTTAATTAAATAATTAATTAAATATTCCAATTAAATTTGGGGTGTTACATTTTTAACTTCTACCTCATCATTTTTTTCTTCCTCCACAATCTCATCATTTCTCACATCATCATTTTTTTCTTCCACCACAATCTCATCACTTCTCACATCATCATTTTTTGTGTCATTTCTTCTCCTCCACTTACCTCTCTTCCACTCCTAGTCACAATGGCTTTACAATGTTCATTTGGATTGGTTTGGGTGTTAGCAGAAAAGGATGGCTCCGATTGTTAATTGGCTAATTATTTCACAAGTTGCCCAACTTGATTTTCAAGATTCTTGATTGACGGCTCATTACTCTTTTGGTTGGCCATTGACATTTGCATGAATTGATTGAGAGTATCTTCCAACTTTGAACATCCACCTTGAGGTTGTGTAGGTTGTTAAGGATTTTGATGGTTTGATGTTCCAGCATCTTGTCTCCAACCTTGTTGATAACCAGAATTATCCCCCCTTTGTTGGTAACCTTGGTTGTTTTGATAAGGTTGTTGAGAGTTGTTTTGATAAGGTTGTCCTTCTTGATAGCCTTGATTACCCATGAAATTTTCTTCTTCGTTCACCGGAGGACAATAACCGGTGGGGTGATCTCCTTCGCATAATTCACAAATTGCTATTTGTACATTCTTGCTCGGCAATTCTTGCATGTCTTTTAGTTGTTGTGGAAGCTTTGACATTTGTTGAGTCAATAATTCCACTTGTTGGGATAACAATTTATTTTGAGCAAGAATATCATCGTTAGTCCCCAATTCAAGCATTCCTGATTTCTTTTGAGTTGTACCTCGATTGTGTTGACCTTGAAGATCATTGAGTGCTATTCTATTGATTATATCAACCGCTTCCTCAACACTCTTTGATAATAAATACCCTCCCGAAGTAGCATCCAATAAATTTTTATGAGTAGATTGGAGTCCATTTTGGAAAATATGGACTTGTGTTAAATCATCAAATCCATGGTCTTTGCACTTCTAGATCATAGATTTGAACCTCTCTCACACTTCGTTGAGAGATTCATTTGTACCCTCAGCAAACACAAAAATTAAATTTTTTGCATCCATGAATCGATAGTGAGGGAAAAATCTTTCCAAGAACTTCTCTTCCAAAATATTTCGATCAGTCATAACAGCAGTGGGTTGATCAAGATACCACTCTTTCGATTTTCCAATCAAAGAATGGGGAAATAATCTTTTGAGCAATTGTAATTCTTGATCTTCATCTACTCCAGTCGCTTCCGCAATCTCATAGAATTTAGTAAGATGAGCAAAAGGATCCTCGTGATCCATCCCGGTGAAAGGATTTTCATATAATAGTTGGAGAATACCCTTCTTCATCTCAGCTTGCCTTCCGTTATTCAAATTATGAGCGAACTGTATGGTGTGTCGTGGACTATTGACACAAGGCGTTGAAATAGGAAGTGGTGGTGGCGGTGGAGCTTCCATATTTGGCTTAAACCGTGGTGTTGGTGTAGAAATAGATCTTTCTCCTCTCTCTTGTCTTTCCTTGGCAAGTTGCCTCCTCCGTCTAGTTTTTCTATTCAACTTATGTGCAGTTCTCACATTCTCAGGATCGAAAAGAAGTTGATCTGCAGGTGACTTTCATCGCATAAACAGAGTCTGTAAAACTTAACCGAACAAATTAAGAAGCTCAAGAAAAAGGAACTGAGGTAAACAAAATTTAAAACTTATTAACTATTTCAATGCTTGTAATATCAAACAACAATCCCCGACAATGATGCCATTTTTTTGAAATAATATTAGTGTGGGTTTTTGTTATCATATCCACAAGGATTTGTTGATATTACTGTCGTTCTACAGTTGAAATCGTTTTAAACATAGAACATAAAATATATTTGTTGTTGTTTCGTAATGTAACGATCGCATAAAAAGTTATAAGCAACGGTAAAAGAGTTTTGGTTTTGAAACGATTGTTAAAAGCATGTCAAGATTAGGGCTCGATAATCCATTTCGTACGCATTTTCTTAATAAAGCATGTGAACTTATTAACAATAAATATAATCACATATCCTCTCAAGATGTTTCATCTCTAAAACAAATTATGAGTTTTATCATATTGATCCTTAGATGATCTCTCAACCTAACTATCAATATGATAACATTAAAGGACTGTTATTAGTGAATATCAACTCACAAAACTATCTCTAAACTTTGCTTGTTGAAAGATGAAAAAGCTAGGTCAAAAGTTGAAACATATTTCTCAATAATGATCCAACACAAATATAAACCATAAAAACAAGGTTTTTCACCATATATTTATCATCAACTTGTTCACATACAAAATATCAAGAAAAATACATACAAAAGTGAGGATTATCTACCTCTAATCTTGACACAAGGAGAGATTTAGCTAGCCATAACCATGGTAGCTTGAGCAACAAGTAACAAATAAAGCTTTTGGAGCATCAAACTTGAAAGGATCAAAGATTGAAGCTTAGAAGTTTTGATTTCTAAGTGAAAATGAAAAATATGACATTTTCTCTCCATACAAAATGTTTTTAGGTTACAAAGATTCTATGAAAAGTAAGTAAGTGTTTCCAAAATACCAACAAGTGCTAAAATACACTTTTTTTGCCCAGGCAAATTTGTCGGGCGAGCTATAAGCCTCGCCAGGCGAAACCCTTAAGTCAAGCCATGTGACAGCAACAATGCCAGTGGGCTGGAGAAAATATCTTCATTCGCCAGGCGAGACAAAGCTTCGCCGAGCGAATTCCTTTCGCTCCTCAATCGCCTGGCAAATCTGCCAGTGAACCAATTCCAGTAGTTACTGAAATTTCAATTCTCTTTCACCTCTTGCTTCACCTGGCCTTCGTCGGGCGAATCTGCTCCTTCGCTTCTTCTTCGCCAGACGAAGATGCTTTTTTCTCCGACACGTGAATTTCTTAGATTCTTTAGTTTTACTTTCGACTTTTGCTGCACTCTTTTGCCATAAAATGCTGAAAAACTAGCAAACACATTAAAACTACCAAATCTACACATTGATGCAAGAATCACTTATTAAATAAGCTGTTTCACAATCAGAAGCATGAAAAAGAGCTTAAAAGTGCCACAAATAAATACAAAAATTATTCTATACTTGACACATATAATCCCCTACACACAGTAGGAATGATATGCATATAACATATATTTTGTGAGTCACCTGCTTAGGAAGGGGGGCATTGCAACCAGTAATTCGTAATAGAAAACACCAGACTCATAATGAGTTGGATCCTACCTTCAAAATTCATTGCACTATCTTCTCAATCAAGGGGTATACATTTCTAGAAATAAAGTTTCTTGCTTGTAAGAGGGACCCCAAATATCTAAACGGCAAAGGTCCTTCTGTAAAGGATGTAATGCCATTTATCTCAGCTTTGATATCATCATCTACTCTACCATAGTAGACCTTACACTTAGCAGGATTTACTGATAACCCCGTGGATTTGGAGAAAGTAGAGAAAACTTGCATAAGTAGCTTTACATATGTGGTATCCCCTCGAGAAAATAATAAGAGATCATCAATAAAGCTTACATTTACTATGTGCAAGTTTTCACATTTGGCGTGATAATTGAAGTCCGGGATATTTTTAAGTCTTTGCAAAGACCTATGCAGGTACTCCATCACAACTACAAATAGGAGAGGAGAGAGGGGGGCACCTTGCCTCAATCCTTTTTTAGGTTCCATAAATTTGGTAGTGGCACCATTAATTCTGAACTTGTAAGACATTGTAGTAACTGCAAGCATGACTCATCTGATGAACTTGAAAGGGAACCCAAGCTCTTTCAGGATGGATTATAAGGAATTCCATTCTACTGTGTCTTATCCTTTTGGAGGTCAATCTGGAGCATGCATGTAGGTGTCCCCCTGTCTAGAGCACCCTCTCAATACCTTACTTAGTCTTGTTGTCATAACCTTATAGATGATTTTATATATTTTTGTGCAGCATGATATAGGTCTATAATAATCAATTGATTTAGCAGTAGGAGATTTAGGTATAAAGGTGGCCAAAGTGTTGTTAATAGATTTATACATTTTCTCCTCTTCAGAGATTTCTGTAACAACTTCTATAACATCTTTGTTGACAATACTTCAAGTTGATTTAAAGAACTTGGCCCTATAACCATATGATCCTGGAGCCTTTAAGTCTCAAATATCCTTAAAAGCTCCCTTGATTTCATCCTCTATCACATGTTTAATTTGCAATTCACTCTGCTCAAAAGTAATTTGATCACTTTGTCTCATGGCCACTATGTCTATTCCCTTCAATGTGTTATTAGAAGTCCTCACCATGCCCCTATAAAAATCTAGAGTTTCATTTTCTATCTCAACCTGTGTGGTTAGCATAGTGCCATCAACCTTATGACAAACTTGGATGCCTGCTTGTTTGTTTTCTCGTCTTACTTAGGCTTGGAAATAAGCATTATTTCCATCCCCTAGTCTCAGCCAATCAATTTTAGCTCTTTGTATAAGTGCTTGTTCTTCAATAGTGTTCCACTTGATCACCTTGCCAGTACATTTTTTTACTTTATCAATTTTGCGAGGGTCTATTCTATCCTCCAGAAGCTCCATCTCTGCCTCTTTAAGGGCTTCTCTCTCATTCTCATGTTGCAACTTTATACCTGAAATGGGTTTGCTTTTCAATCTAATAATGGTTGGAGTGTTTTTCATTTTTTTCCAAACAGTGTGCATAGCTTCCCCTAGCAATAGAGGTACCTTCCAGTTAGAAGAAACTACTTCTAAATATCCTTCCATCTTAGCTACTATGTTCAGGAATTTGAAACTATATGTATTTCTTTACTTCACATCACACTCTTGTAGATAAAGAAGGGCATAATCGGATATACCTGATTCCATGATATGTAAGGTAGTGCCACTAGCATTTCAAAACACACCCGTCTAGACAAAAATACCAATCACCGAACCATATTGGTGAACTAAAAGTCCAAAACATACTCATTTACATTATAACAAAGTATATGTTTTGCTTACTTTGAACCTTTACTTCATACAAACATCAATAATTATTAATAATATGACAACACAGAAATATTATAATAAAAAATGCTCAAAAATATGTAATATAACACATCATCTAGAATACATAATACATAATATCTTTTACAAAATACATAATATCAAAAAGAGCCTAAGAAAAATACATAAGATATAAATACATATTACTACATCACACATGATCTACCCACCTTCTCAACCTTTTATGACTACCTGTATGTTCACCCTCCTCATTTGACGCTTCTTCTATAAAGATTTTCTCTGTTAAGTATAACAAGTGTGAGTAGTATGTGGAATAGTCTCACATTGGCTATAAATATGGAGACTTGATCATTTATAAGTTGGATAACCCATATATCTATTGTCTTAAGATTTGGGTGAATATATGACGTGTCTCTCACAAAAGTGTTGTTTAAAAAAAGAAATCTCACAATGTTCAATGTTCTCTAATAAAAATATCTTCTACCATCCTTCTCGATTGGTCTTGTCATAAATCTTAATTTTCCGTACCTTAAATAATAGATCTAGTTTAATTTAAGATTTTCACACACACACACACACACACACACACATATATATATATATATATATATAGTAATATTTACTAGCAATAGTAGGGATGACAAACAAACCCGGGCCCGCCCACACTCGCCCGGGCCCGCCCACACCCGCCCGGGCCCGCCCCGAAATTAACAGGAAAAATCCGATTTAATTGGGTGCGGATGCGGGTGAAACTCGGTTCTTAACTACGGGTGCGGGTGCGGGTAGACACTAAGACCCGCCCGCACCCGCCCCCGACCCGCCCCAAATAATATATTTTATTTTGATTTCCTTATTTTATTTATTTTAATATTTATTTATTAATTATACTTTTAATTAAGTTATTAATATTCTTATTGCAATTAAAATAATAAAATTAATCAAGTTAATATTCATTTATTAATTAAAATTTTAATTAAATAATTAATTAATTTATTAAAATAATCAATTTTTTAATTAAATTACTAATTTTTATTATAATTAAAAAAATAATAATTTTTTGCGGGTGGGGGCGGGGCGGGTGCACCCGTTTTCTACTGGGGGCGGGTCTGGGTGGTAAATTTTCACCCCCGATTAGATTTGGGGGCGGAGGCGGGTCTGTTACATGGAGGCGGGTGCGGGTGCGAGTATAGTTAAACCCGCCCCCGACCCGCCCCGTTGCCATCCCTAAGCAATAGTTGAAAAACTAGAAGATATAAGCAAAAGGATGGCCAAAGTGAAATTCACTAGCAATGGTTGAAAACTAGAAGATATTGGCACAATAAATATACACAAAATTTACCACAAAAACTATTGCAACTCCTATATATATAATGTCTTGCAACTATATAAATAAGGATTTTTTCCACCTCATTTTCATTCATTCACATATCATTTCCTCTCGCCATTATGTTTTTTTCTTTTTCTAATTTTTTTATATAATAATATTAATTTTAGTTATCGAGATTTTTGCGTTATTGGTTCGTAAATTTTAGAGTTATTATAAGGTTAAGCCTCTTTTAAAGTTTTGAAGGAGTTTGATTTTATATGTCAATTTTTTGTCCAAATAATTTTCATAAGGTATTTTATTTTAACTTTTTATTTATATAAAGGTTATTTTAAAATTAACTATTTAAATTTTCGTTCAGACGTCGAGGTATTGAACTTATAAACTTCATGTTGATATCCTAACAAAATAAATTTTAAAATTTTAAGTCGTTATAATGCTCAAGTATTACTGTAAAAATAAAATGTTATTAGGAATATACTCTTGATAATTTTATAAAATAATCATATTCAAAGGAGGATATAATCTAATTTATATTTTGTTCCGGTATGGGCCTAACCTCGGCAGGCCCAATACCGCGTGCGGACCAACAAGCGAACCGGGCACGCCAGGCACGCGCCCCTTCGAGACGAGCAGGGCAAGCCGCCGAACACAAGCTACGTCTCCACACCCCTTCTTCGTCCACCACGCCGGACGGGCAGAACCGCCCGGGCTCCCCTCCGCGGGGAGAATAACGTGCTCGGCGCACGTTCTCCACGTGCTCCCCTCCGCGGGGACACGTCACCGGCCAACTGCCCACCTCCGAAAGAGCAGGTAAAACCCACTTTTCGGAGATCTAGGAGCAGTTGAACTAGGGCGAAGACCACGTCCTGGTCTTCACTACGCCACGTAAGCCCTAGCAGTCATTCGAGTTGGGCCTGGTCAGCCAGCCCACCTCGAATGACCGTTGGCCCAGCGCTGGGGTCTCTCTCTATAAATACCCTCTTCTTCAAGAGGGTCAGGTAACTCTTCTTACCCCTTTTTTCTGTACTGTTGCTTCCTCTCTGTCCAACTTCTTACTTGGGCATCGGAGTGTCTTGCAGGTACACCCCCCTCCTCTTTCTCACCCCGGTGAACAGGTAGCAGCCCAACAGAGTGTGGCCAGTCTGTGATCCCCTCCTGATCAGGTCAGATCAGTGGCGCCGTCTGTGGGAACTTGAAACTTCCCCGTTACTCCGAGCAGAAAACCAAAAGTTTCGCCAAACCTCCACGATCATGGCTAGCCCACGCCGCGACGACACTCCTCACGACCTTGCGCTCAACGTCGCCACCAATGGAAATCAGACAGGATCGGCACGCCCGACGGGAGCCGATGAAAGGGACGGGCAAACTGCTTCACCATCATCCGAGGAACGGCCCCTACAGGCCGATCACCGCTCCCCGAGCCCGCCAGCATTCCACCCCGTTCCCATCCCGGCGGGAGCAGACCCGACGGTGGCCGCTCTCTTTACAGCCATCAACCAGACGAACCAGATGTTGTTCCAACAAAATGCGAGAATTGGAGCATTAGAACGCATCGACCCTCCGAGATGCCCCCAGCGGGAAAACCAGAACGGAGGTTCGAGGAGCCTCTCACCTCGACCCAGGAGCCGCCGACCACGGCTGGAGAGACGTCCCCCGCAGGCGTCACGAGAACGCACCAGATCCCCGGCGAGACACGGTCGCGGGAGGAACCAGAACGCCGCGGCGATCCCAACCGAGGAACCCCGAGGCAAGAACTCAGGCAGGAGATCGAGGACCCGAAACCCGGGGCACACCGTGAACGGCTCATCTCCCCACAGATCCCCGGCGCACAGCGACGAGGACGACTACCGCATCCCGCTATCCCGGGAGATCATGGCAGCCCCCATAACCCAGGGGATGGAGAAACCACCGACGCTGTCAACATACGACGGCACCTCCGACCCGGACGATCACCTGGAAGATATCGAGGCTATGCTCGACTACCGAAACGTCCGGGGGGCCATCAAATGCAGACTCTTCCCGACGACTCTGAGGAAAGGCGCTATGACCTGGTACAAAAGTCTGGAGCCCGAATCAGTTACGTCGTGGAGGGTCTTGAAGGACCTGTTCTCCAAACATTTCACGGCGTCCCGACGTCACCCGAAGACGGAAGCAGTCCTCGGGGCAATCATCCAAGGCCTCGACGAGCCTCTCCGGAAATACATCGAAAGGTTTACTCGGGAAGCCGTGCAGGTGACAACTTCCGACGAAATGAAACGCTACTTAATGGAACAAGGCCTACGCCACGACTCCAAATTCTACGAGGCCGTAGGCATACACCGGCCCACGTCCCTCCAAGATTTCCTCGACAGAGCCGCGCATTACATCCGGTTCGAGGAAACACAAGCGGCCAACTCCGCTCGCGACACTCGAGACAGAGAGGCCCCCCGCGGGCACCGAGACGATGGAGCTTTGAGCCATCGACGAGGAGGGGACCGCCGTCGGGAAGACCGCCCCCGCGAGCCCCGCGAACAGCGCGAACCACGCGGCCCGGCAGGAAGATTCACAGAGTACACAGCCTTGGTCGCTTCACGCGAACGCATACTGGCCGAATGCGCTAAAACCGAGTTTGTTCAAGGAGGTGTCCGTTTTCCGCGACCAACGCCCCCCAAACCCAACGTGGACAAGTCAAAATACTGCCGATTCCACAGGACCCACGGGTACGTGACAGAAGATTGCATCCATCTCAAAGATGCGATCGAAATCCTAATCAAAGACGGGCACCTAAAGCGATACACCCGAGGAGGCGAACCACCCAGGTCAGAGGCCCCGGAAGCTAAGAAAATCGAGGAACTCCCCTCTCCAGAGGACAGCAGCAGACTCCAGGTCGCGTTGTGCGTCAGCCGCCCCGAGGATTGGTTCGCGAGCGGAGAATTCGGCATCCCCGAAGGGCCCAGCCTAGTCGACGAGCCACTCCGACCAACCAGCCGCTGGGAATACTTCCCCAGAGCCATGGTCATATCTGACGGAGCCACGAGGAGTCTATCCATAGGATCCGTGAAAAGGAAATTCGACGAACTCATCGCGAGCAACTCCGGCAAGATGAGCACGCTCGACAAATTCCGGGGCCGCTCCAGCCCGATCACATTTTACCTCGAGGAACTGCCCGGGGGATCTCCCAATTCCAACATACCCTTGCTCATACGTGCCCGAATGGCAAACTTCGACGTCAGGCGCCTCCTCGTCGACGGCGGGAGCTCAGTTGACATAATGTACTCACATCTGTTCACAACTCTCCAGCTCGACGAATCCAACCTCTCCCCCTACGTAGGCTCCGACCTCCAGGGGTTCAACGGGACGACGACGAGACCTTGGGGATACGTGGAATTGAAAGTCACCTTCGGAGAAGAGGAAACGGCCAGGGACATCAGCGTCCGCTTCTTAGTCATCG